TCTATATGTGTGGATGTTAGACTGTGTGTGGGGGGCACGATTTCGTTCACCCTGTTTGAAGCCTAATAATTTCTGTGGTCAGAATCGGAGTCAGATGGTTTAACACAGGAGTTAGTTATTAAGCGTCAAAGTGGTTGAACTAAATCGTGTCCCTATACACATTCTAACATCTTAACGGCAGTGGCGTGCCGTCATTAGAAGCGGTGGATGAGCCGCTTCCCTTGTATTTTCTAAAAAATAAATATATATTAATTTTAATTATATGAAAATTATCGCACAATATTTTATTATAACCGCATTATGTATCTTTTTACAAATTTCTATACTACACGTGAAAATAAAAATAAGATTGCTATTGTATATTCGACTATTAGTGGCGGAGTGAAATCTCTGTATTGTCAGATTCCAAAAAGCCAGATTTGCGCATGCTCTTTACAGAGCACCAACCTCACCCGGTTTAGCCGGTGGAAGCCTACGACCTTGGGTTGATGCTACACATATAACGCTTCCAATTCTATCCGGCACCGGTTATGGGCTGTTAGCCGCCCACCCACTAGATATTTGGCCGATTACGTGAATCACGAGTAGATTTATAACTTAACCCAACCGATAAGAATTTACTGGTATGTTTTTCTGATATTTCTGTATAGTTGACAGGAGTTTTAAAAAATCCATTAAAATATTTGATATATTTATTCTGCTCTCCGATTTTATATTACGGATTTCAATGTTAAACCAGTGATATTACGATTTCGTATGTCCCATCTTTAAGGGGATGCAGAAAAAAACGTGTACAATTCTTGTATAATGTTAAAAAATTAACTTTTACTTTGGTAGCATAATTTACAACTAAATTTAATGAATGAGAGAGATGCACGAGGTACAGAAAAAGCTCTAGAATTTATTTTCCTTAAATTTACGATTTATGTATCCGTTTGTCATAAAAATTTGTCTTTCCACTTTTTCCCGAAACTACAAATATTCGAGCACAAAGTAACTGGTTTCGACTTATTTCTACTTAAGAAGAAGTTAAATAATTAAGAGATTAGGGAATTGGGGACACAAACAAAACCCTGATGAAAGAGCCGAAATTTTACTTAAACAAAAGCCTAACCGAACCAATCTCTAGCCGAGTACAGTGGGAGTGATTTCTTCGAAATATTAGATGTAATAAAGACAGACATTTTTCCAGTTCGATGAGAGTGACCGAAAAGTTGTAAATTTTGGAAATTTCCGTGGACAACACCTGGTCCTAAAACGAATTAGAAAACAAACGACGGACAATCAATTAAGTTTAACATATTTAGACTTTTACAGCTATGGTGAGAAACGTTTAAAATTTACAACAACCCTGTCGTGTCTTTTGACATTTGACATTGACCGGTATCGGCACCCTCGGGGTTTGGCAGCCCGCGTGCATGTATACACCGCACACCTAGCAGGACCGTCTCTGATTCCACTCGTAGGGAGCTATTTGACTAAATAGTTAAGATTTAAAGAGTAAATAATATTTTATGTTACTTTTATGTATTGTACGTTTCATTACAAAGCTATATTTAATTATAATTTTCTTTAAAAGTATATTCATACAATTGAAGAATGTTTTGTACCAGGTATATATATCCACCACACATTTTATTTCACCAAGTAAGTTTTTATAATTTTATTTTTAATTTTAGCCCTTATATCGTGGCTAGCGATTCGGAATGTAATTGCGATATTGAAAATTTATTTTAAAAAAGTTTTGGCTCGAGATCATATAATGAAAAAGAAAACATTANACATTCCACCGGGAATATTTGTTGCTCGATCATCAATGCCATTATCACTCGGCCAATACGGACCTGCACTCTCATTAAAATGTGGATGGGCATTTCAGAATATCTGAACAAACAGCAATGCCGTCTACCGCAAAGTGAAAACACGGAATATGCAACAATTGGGTGTTGTATATAATATCCTCACAGTAACTTTTTAGACACCCTTTATTTTACTTTTCCAACTGTTATAATATAAGAGGGAAAATATGGCAATCAGTCAAAAAATGACCCCCCCAGACTTTTACATTTTAACTTTGGGAACTTAAAATGCCAAAAAACTTGAGGGTTTTTCTGTATTTACGGATATGAGTGAGTGAGTGAGTGAGTGAGTGCGTGTTTAGAGAGGCATGATTTCTCATATGATAAAAAATTAAAAAATAAATAAATTGCCTGACAATAAATGAATATAAGCCTCAAGCTTAAAATACTTTTCATAAATACAATTTTAAACTACTTTACTGAAATATAAGCCATACTGAAATATGGTAGAACCAGTGGTGATATTCAGCGGGTTCGCACAGGTTCAGCCGAACCCGTTCTTAACATTTTCAAAGTTTTCCGAACCCGTTGTTTAAACACATGTAACATTTCTCAGTGATTTTGTTTCTTTTAAAAAATATATTAAAATATACGTATTATACTCTGTAACACTACTAAACTAGAGCCTTATACCCCGTTCGCCTTGGTGCAACCTCCATCGACCGTTTCAATCTCGACTGAAACGAGGTTCAATCGTGATCGACTCAAGAGAGTTCTTGAAACTAGGTCCAGTCATACGAGAGGTCCCACAATCCCACGCGCGCGAGAAAATACAAGATGGCTGCGGAACATGTGTTGGGCTATCAACAGCTAAATAAAAAAAATATTGTATTTCAAGAGACAATGACATCTGTCTACTATTATAATAATACCTAATGATAAAATAAATGATTTAGAAAAGTTTTTTCTTGAGAAAAAGCCATTTTTTGTTTATAAAATATTTTGAATGAAAAATATTAAAATATGTACAAAATACACCATTTTGAACACTTTATATATATATTTTCTTTTTATAAATAGTAAAAATAGTTCTGGCATAAACAATGTTAAACTTTAACTGACTTAATTTTGCGAACGCATCTTTTTTATTTATATGAATATCTTAAGGTCAGTTTTTGCTCTAATGTTGCTAATGCACCATTTGAGCGAAAAAAAATTGTTAAGGAAAAATTTTCTGTTAGCGAACCCTTTGTTAAATATTTCGAATATCACCACTGGATACAAGTCCTGTGTTGAGCGGCTAATGGCACTCCGGTTGCTGGTTGTCGTGCGTGGAGTCCGACTTCATGCAGCCTGTTGCGAATGGTCTGGGTGGTCACAGATGTACCCGTTGACGGCGATAAGCAGCTTCGGATGTCACGTACCATGGAAAACGAGTCTCGATGGGCCGTTTGGTGAATCTGCTAGTCTGCGCGCTCTGTCACACGCCGATGCGATACATTCCATCTTCTGCAAGTTCCCAAATGTTCTTGCGTCAATCGTGTCACATACCTCTGGATGGCACTTATGTCACTCCTAACACGCATGACAACTGAGCGCATCGACAAACCGATGCGCTCAGTTGTCATGCGTGCAGCTCCAGGATACGGTCTCGCACCTCAACCGTTAACTGGTGATATTCAACTCGCTGTCGTCTCCGAGGAATTTTCTACGCTTCTTTGAAAGTTCGGTTTGTTTTGTTATGGCAACTCAGCACTTGAGCGATCTGCCTAGGGAGGACTTTTTAAGGAATTTAAGGACTTTTTAAGGAATGGCCCATATTTAAGCATTACAAACGTGGAAAAAACCGGAAAACTCCACGTGGCCAGCCCTTCCTGGGGCGGCGCGAACCCACGACCGAGCTCCCAGTGTTTAGGGAATGGAACCGCTTGGCCACTGGTGGGCCGAAGGAAGGTGAGAAATTCTTCAAAAGAACTATCATAGGGTCCATTGTTACTCCCTGAAAACTAACAAACAACAAACTCACCTTCTTTCTGGAAAAGTTGCAGTTGGTGAAGACAAGAACCCGACAAACTGCTTTGTTTTCATCAGACAACTTCTTGGAGATCCATCGATACTACACAATGCAGGCATATTGGAATACCAATAGGTCTGCATTGTGAAAAATATCGTTTACTGCACAAAAGACACATTCAACTTTGTTGAGATCTTTCCTAGGGTAACACGGGGATTTCTTTCATTATGAACTTCAGTGAGTTTGATTTTTTCATCCCTGAAGGATGTACGCAGATAATCGGGCGATCTATGCCTGCAACATTAGTGTATCCTTTCTGCAACTCTACCACCACCACCACCTTACATGTCTCTGCTATACATTTACCACTTTACCATTTCACTATAAATGTTAAACGTCATCTACCATGCTATGTGATGTTCGTATACAAATCCGGGGTTTTGATATCAAGAAATTCCAAAAAAGCAGATGTAGTTTTTTTACTCTTTCTGCCCTGTGGGCACTTAGAGGGCCTCTTAAAGCAGGCCCATTATGGGTTCGGCTAGGCCCACAATGGGGCGACGGGTGGCGAGGGACGGGGCCCGACATATCCGAACTGACCACCCCCGAAAAATTCCTGGGGATTCTTTGACCCGTCCGGATTCGATCCGGGTCCACCAGAGCTGTGTCAATGCTCCGGACTGAATAGCATTAAATTCCTTAATTTTACATTCGTTTCCTTTAACATTCATTGTTTTGAAATAAAAAATATAGTGGTAGACTTTTCAAGTCTTGTATTATCTCTTTTCAACAGTACCATTTTTTAAATTTATATAAAGCAGAAACTGCTTTATATAAATGTTAATCAGCTGCCTTAAGACCCAAAGCTTCGGAGAGAGACGGACATGCCCAACGTCATAACCGACGTAAACGTCAAGAAACATTTAAAACACGCACATGCGAGGCCGCAGTCCGTGCAAGTTAAATACCCGTTGTATAAAGATCAAAATAAAAAATTTTCATATAGATCAAAGTAAATTGATAGCAATCGGAAATTTTTATCAATTTATCAAAATTGAAATTTCTGAATATATTTTAAACTTAAAATCTTATATACAAAGAACAAATGTTATAAAACTTAATTTTGAAAACTATTAAAAAAAAAAAAAAAAATATTTTTTAAAATTAATGTTACTTTCACACGCAAGGGGGCATCTTTACGAAAGTGCGTAATTGAGAAGAGTGAGGATATTTGTGTTGATTTGACATCTGTTATTTGTGATTTACGTATCGAATATCTGTTGAACTTCTTTACATAAATGCCGAAAAATAAAGGTAATTTCATAATATACAAATTATAAAACTAAAATCTGTATCTTATACTATCTACTGGATAATCTCGAAATAAAAAAAAAAAAAAAAACATTAAATTGGACAAACTCCTCTACCCTTTTTAGTATACTGAATTAGTAAAAGTACTATTAGGATAGGACATTTTTAAAGTTCCAAGACTTTTAAATAGCTCTTTGTTTAATGGTGAGAACTGAGCGCTTCTGAATCTCGGAATTAATCAATTTTCATACAAATTTGTATCTGTAAGTTCACATTTTCAACAAATTTTTATAATATATTACACATCTCAAGCAAATATCTGTTAATTTTCTTTTTCATTCATTTGGGAAATAATATTGTTTTTTATGGAAAACTTGAGTCTATAGTTCATACAAATGAAAAAATTTTGTAAAAATCATTATTTATTTATTTAGTGAGGTTTTTTTACTCTTTGTACGGGGACAAAGTGAAATAATACCAAACAAACAAAAGTATTGTCCAATAACACAAACACAAATAGAGTAAATATAATAATCTCAGTATGGAGTCCAAATTTGTCAATACAAAAGTAAAAAATCATTAAAAATTTTTGATTTATTTACATTTATATTGAAATATAAGTTTGTAAATTTTACTTGAAGTCATTGAATGGTTATTAAGAAAAGTCTTGTAATTGGGTAATAAAAATTCATTGAAGTGAGTATAAATAATTTTATATTTAATTTATGTAGTCTCAAATAAAAACACCGATGGAGCAATATCACTGTAAAATTTTGAGATACTAAAGTTAATTTGTTAGTAATATATTGTGTATATATATTTTCCTACAAATCTTTGTTTATAATATTGGATAAGCCATGAAATGTAAAAGTTAGATTTCAAATAACTATTATTTTACAGATTGTTTTAAGATATCAAAAACCAACTTGGATATAATTGTATAATATAACAATTTCAATAACATAATGTTGAAAGATTTATTTATTAATAGAATTTCACTTAATATTTACTTATTTAACATAACGAATCATAATTTTCCATTTATATATTATATTTAAATAGTAAAGAATAAAATAACATTTTTTAATATATGTAAACATTCAATCTATAATCTGATTTTTCAATTAAAGCCAAATGAACTATTAGATTTTAAGAAAGTGGATACAGTAGAGCGTCGTTTATCCAAATCAATTGGGGACTGGGATTGTTCGGATAATTTATTTTTCGGATAACCGATTATGTACAAAAAATATATTAATTAATTAACTTATCCCGTGTTGAAATTTTTTTCCATTGCGTGTCTCTTCGTGTTGAATTTTCGTGAATGTTAAGACTAATGTAAACTTTTTAAAATAATAATTGTGGCTATTGTATTGTTAAAAATTATTTTTATTTTTTACAAACAAAATTAATATATTGAAAAATATAAAAACAAAAAAATATTATACTTTAGAAGTTAATCTAGTATCAAAAATGTTTGATTCAGCATATGACAGTCCTCAGAAAAACACCAACAAAAGTGCAGTGCTGCCAGCTAAAACACACACATGAACAAAAAAATATTGGAGTAGCCCAAGATATAGCCAAAGATTGCAGTGCCACAGCACTAGTGAAAATTTAAATTTGCAGACTGGAATTCTTTCGGATAAATGACACTCTACTGTATTTCAATTTCTGTGTGCATAGATCAAAAAAGCATTACAGATGGTCCTCTACTTTTGTACCTAATTGGATCTTGAAATATGTATGAAAGTTGAAATGTACAAAAGTAGAGCAATGTATAAAAACATCAAAAAGGGTTTTCAAAATATTTGTTTTTTTATTGATTAGTATCTGGTGTTTTCTTTATAAATTTGCCAAGAGATAATTAAGTTGTATTCTTCTTTCTCTTTACTTGATAGAGTTCTGTAACATGCTGTGTCTTTTTCTATTGTCCTTAGTACATGAGATATATGTTCTCAATTGTACGGAGGTTATGAGACCTTGATTTCTTTTTTCCATATCAACAATGCTGTTTTTCATTTTTCACTCATATTTATGAATTAATAAGTGCAAATTTTTTCACCAAAACAGAAATGTACCGTACATAAGTGATAGCACATGTCCTAACTTAAACTGATAAGACACAGCTTATCAACACAAGTGCTAACTCAAGACATCCCAGCTTGAGACTGAATCTGTGATGTCGGAAATGGCCATGATTAATTTCAGAGAGGAGAGGAGGGACTAGTGACTAATAGTTCATAAGGGAAGAATTATTACATGAAAGTGTGTGTGTTTTGCCATATAGATTGATAAAAATTAAAAGTATGAAATATGTATGAAATTGTACAAAAATAGAGGACTGCCTGTATTTATTGAAACAGTTAGTAGATACTGATTTTTGAAAGTAAGATAGGTTTATTTGTTTTAGTATTGTTATTTACAGTGTGATCACTAAATCTAAAGTTGTTATGCCATTATTGTCTTTGCAGGTTAATTGGAAATGTTAACATTAATTTCAAGGAAGTAAAGTTACTGTAGATATAAAAAATTCAAGTGATATTTTTTTAATTTTTGACTTTCTAGTTAGCAACTTTATAGATTCTGCATCAGAAAAGATTTTTAAAATGACATTTCATAAATATAATAAATGTGTAATAATGATTTCATGAATTTGTTTGTGAAATTTTTGAACAAAAAATAATAAAGTTAAATGAAATATTACTTGGCGAGTTTAACTTGTATTATTTGTTATTTTTACATTTGCACCAACACTATATAATAATTGTCTACTTTCTTCACTCAAAGTTGCTTTTTAGCCAAATGACCTAATAATCCTACTTTTATCTGGAGTACCTAAAATATTTTTTTTTTTGCTATTTCATATTATATCAAAGTATATTAATATAACAAAATATAATGCTGATAATTTGAATACTTTGATTTATAATATCCAGCCTTCCTCAGTATGGAGTCCAAATTTGTCAATACAAAAGTAAAAAATCATTAAAAATTTTTGATTTATTTACATTTATATTGAAATATAAGTTTGTAAATTTTACTTGAAGTCATTGAATGGTTATTAAGAAAAGTCTTGTAATTGGGTAATAAAAATTCATTGAAGTGAGTATAAATAATTTTATATTTAATTTATGTAGTCTCAAATAAAAACACCGATGGAGCAATATCACTGTAAAATTTTGAGATACTAAAGTTAATTTGTTAGTAATATATTGTGTATATATATTTTCCTACAAATCTTTGTTTATAATATTGGATAAGCCATGAAATGTAAAAGTTAGATTTCAAATAACTATTATTTTACAGATTGTTTTAAGATATCAAAAACCAACTTGGATATAATTGTATAATATAACAATTTCAATAACATAATGTTGAAAGATTTATTTATTAATAGAATTTCACTTAATATTTACTTATTTAACATAACGAATCATAATTTTCCATTTATATATTATATTTAAATAGTAAAGAATAAAATAACATTTTTTAATATATGTAAACATTCAATCTATAATCTGATTTTTCAATTAAAGCCAAATGAACTATTAGATTTTAAGAAAGTGGATACAGTAGAGCGTCGTTTATCCAAATCAATTGGGGACTGGGATTGTTCGGATAATTTATTTTTCGGATAACCGATTATGTACAAAAAATATATTAATTAATTAACTTATCCCGTGTTGAAATTTTTTTCCATTGCGTGTCTCTTCGTGTTGAATTTTCGTGAATGTTAAGACTAATGTAAACTTTTTAAAATAATAATTGTGGCTATTGTATCGTTNAAGGAAAATTGTTTGACATTATTTTAATTCTCATATTACTCTAAATTGATTTTTTAACATTGAATTTTATTATATCTCTTGTATCAACATCATAAATTTATTTATTATTTTATATATTTATATTATGTTTCAAAATACAAAAATATAAATTACCAAATATAAAATCAAAGTTTAAGTTTTATAGTAATTTTTTAGGTAAGGGAGGAAAGAATAGAAGAAGAGGAAAAAATGAAAATGAAGCTGAAAAACGTGAACTTGTATTTAAAGAAGATGGACAGGGTATATATGAACTATTTTTAATATTTTAATACTATTTTATAGCAAATAATTTTTCTCCATTACTGAAAAGAACATTGTTGTTGTACAGAAAATGCTGGAGCAGGATAGACATGTGACCTGCTATCAGATAAAGGAGACTTTGGGCATTCCAGTACTTCCAATACATGTTATTTAGCACAACCACATCAAAGTGAGAAAAGTGTGCTCTCTTTGGTGCCCCATACCTTAACAACAAAAGCAAATGACAAGGTTTATTGTTTGGTGTCAGAAGATGACACCAAACAATGCACCTTGTTATTTGAAGATGCTTAAAAGTTTCAGAACAGAACTTCTTGTTGTGTGAACATTATCATGACAGGTGACAAAACTTTGCTTTAATTAATACTATGATACCCCGCAATATCCAAAAACAAGATGAATCATCCCCATTAACATTTAGAAAATTATAGTCAGTAAAAAAGAGAATGATTGTTGTATTATTCACAGTTATAGGAGTCATACAGTTTGTAGTACTGTAGATGCAGTAGGTGGTCACTGTCAAGTGGTACACTGAACCCACAGTGTCTATCATGTATTATTCAGGCACTAAAAAATCCGTGACCATGGTCATGGGTCAATATTTGGTTTTGCACCATAATAATGCTCCTCCACATTGGACCAACATGTGCATAGCCTATTTGGCTATGACCAGCTTGAATGTTCTTGAAAATCGCCTTGCAGTCCTGATTTTTCACTGTATGACTTTTCCTTGTTTCCTCATAAGAAAAATCAACTAAAAGGACAGCAATTCTTGAATAATGAGGTATTCTTATATGCATGGGATGAAGAATGTGCCCATCTAACACAACAAACATAAGTAACATTTGACTACTGGTTCTAGAGGATGCATAGGTGCATTGAGTATAGTGGAAAATATTAATTCTTTTTACCTCTATGTCCTTACTGTTTTACATTTCTGTGTATATACTGTCTTCTTGGACTATGTTTATTAGTATGACTTATTATACTGGTGTAGTTTTTGATTAGTAAAGAGAGGAGCTCTTAGCCAAAAGTCAAAACAAAATATCTTTATTTTTATTTGTACACTCTGTGTGTTTAAGACATGAAGGCCTCCCTTTAGTAGGCTTACAACATTCTATAACAATTTTATAAAAACTTTTTTAAAAACAATGATAGTACACCTGATGATAATATTTAAGATAAAGGTAAAATACTTACATTTCTTTTATTGTCTAATATTATACACCAATACCGACATAAAGTATTCAAAAAAACATAGCATAACATACCTAACTTAATGTTTTTCAAATTACGCCTGAATAAAATGATAAATCTATTAAATAATTAAAGTTTTATAAAGTTGTGAAAGAGTGTAAAAAATAAAGTTGTACTGCAAAACTTCCATAGAGTCCATTGTAATTTATTGTTTAATATAGCAGTATAATACAAAGCAAAAGTAGGGAAAATGATAATTTTAAAATAATTCTATATTTTCTTCAAATTGTATTCATTATAACATGATGTAAATTAGATTGCCTGTAATCCTATTATTTTTCTTTTCCAGCTCTGGGATAACGTTTTGTGTTATTTCCCAATCCTATTTGCTATCTTTAGCAGTAATCCTTAAAAATTCTATGCCTTATTTCTTTATTGAAGATGATGATGTAATAGTAAAGCATTTTTATTTATTCCATTAATGAAATAATACTTAAATCTTAGAAGGAATAAATTACAACTAACATGTTCATTTAACCAATATCAAACTTTTTTGAAAATTGTTCAAATTAACACAAAAAGCCTATTACATATTATCAAAATCTAATCTTAATACTTTATAGTTTAATATATATACTTTTTAATAAATTTTATTGTAATGTATTTTGTGTAAAGAATGAAAAAATAAGATAATGATTATAAGAAACATTGTTATATAAATGCATATACAATATATGTAACTTGTAAAAAATTTGAAAGGGAAATTTTAAGGTTAGAATGTGATGTACAGTAATACCTTGACTTGCGTTACCCCGACTTACGTGAATCTGGAGTTACGCGATTTTCAAATCTCGTCAATTTGTCTTTTGTTCGAGCACCACGCAACTCTTGATTACTCACTCCCTCCACACTATTGTTCAGCTTACATGTTCGGACATGTCGCACGGAATCAACACAAAGCTACAATTTATTTTGTGTTATTTATTTCTGTGTTTGTTATATCTACGGAGACTTGAGAGACTCTATGTGGTAATTTCTTGTAACCATGAACGAATCAAAAGATGAGATAAGATTAACGAGAACATTTATTAGCTTACGTACATTCGACTTGGATTTTACAAATTGCGAAATTATACCTTGACTTACGTGGTTATCGCGTAAGTTCGGGGTATCACTGTATTTAAAAATAAAAGAACTACTATTTGAAATTCATTTTTTTAAAATTCTTAGTAAATTGAACTACAAAAACAATAGGAATAATTAATTTTTAAAATAAAAAAATAAAACTTAGCATAATAAGTCACAGTTTAAGTGAATATTAATAATACAGACTTGATCTATAATTTTAATACTGTGTTATGTTATGCTATGCTGTTTGTGATTCTAAAAGAAAGTTAACAATTTTGTTGTTGGAATCTTTTCTATATTTAATTTAATAATTCTACTACTATTTATTTTATTAATTGCCATTTTGGGCAGTTATGATATTTACTGTTACACAAATTTAATGTAAAGTATTGGACATTAATGAGAATACACTATTATTTATTCAATGCATTAGTTTGTTATGAAAGGAATCTTTATTGCTTACAGTTGAAATTATCAGTCTCTATAAATTTTCAAAGTTTTATATAAATAAATAAATTTTATAATGATAATGTTGAACCATTAACAAAATTTGGATTCATAATATCAGGTGCTAGTTTCAAGACTACTTTGAATTCAGTAGAATTAATGTTTTATTATTTTATTAATACAGTAGACTCATTAATTCAAACTGATATAATTTGAATTTTCTCGTAATTTGAACTGGCCACTAGTACCCATCTAATTCCTATTTAAATCAATGTAAAATTCTCTTGGTAATTTGAACTTGGTTGCACTTCCTCCTGTTTATTCAAGTGAGTAACATGTGTTACAAAATTAACATCATTTTTCCATTTTTGAAATTCAAAGATAAAATTTAAAATTAATAAATTAATTTAAAAATAAAATAAATTAAAATTTAAAAACATGATGATTTACAGATGCCTTGAAGCAGTTTCTCATTGTGATTTCATATGGACAATACAGAACCTTTATTTGGTATTTTTCATTGATTAAACATTATTCTGCTTGCAATATGGTGTTAATGTCTTGTTAAATTCATTTTTTTTCTTTGTTCTTTATCATCCAGAAATGGTCTTTTAATTCAAGCTGTTTAAGGCATCCCTCTGAATTTCAATTAAAGAGAGTCTACTGTATTAAAATTTTATTATAAATATTATTAGACAAAATTCACAAATATGCCTATATAATGTTTTGTTCCACCAAAAAAAGGTCAGTGTTTCTTCATTGGAGTCTAAGCATTTAACAAATAGAATTTGAAAACTTTTTTGTTTTAAGAATAATTCCTGCTGGTTTTGTGTTAATTCAGTTTTCAAATTTAAATATGAATGATGCATGGCATTATTTCAAAAAAGTCAAGGATGGTAAATTGAAGCAGTGCACAAGTTGTAATGTTCTACCAGAAAACTTCGATGTAACATCAGTTATGTAGAATCATCATAAATCCAAGCATACTTTACTGCCAACTAAAGTCAAAACAGGCATATGAATAAAATACCATAATACCATACCACTTTCATTAATTGTTTAAAACTAGTTTTGTTGATAGCATTACTAATAACATACTATGTGACAATACCATTGATCATATTCTCAAACAAAAATTGTTAAAATAATTAATAATTTTATCAAGTCAAAATATATTCAAATTTTTATAGTTTTTTGTACATCTAGAGTCATGAAGTTAATTTAATGCCTTGCTGAATTTGATTAATGGAAAGTGTGTGAACTAAATGATTTTGTTCACATTTAGGTATTATGGATTTATAGATAACAATTCATTTTAAATATTGATTTAGAATAATGAAATTGTATTGTTCCACATATTACTAGATCACATTCATTGTTTTCGATGCTTGTGAATTGAGCATGATTAATGCTTAATCTAACATTTATTTAGTATTTCAAAATATCTAATTTTGCATTAAGCATTAATATCTAATTTTGTAAACTTTATTCCTTTCAAACTTTGAAAGATCATATTTCAGATCAGAACTACTTTTCAGACTATGTAACAGAGCTTTTGAGCTTATTCATGCTTTCAGTTAGTGATGACAAATGTACAAATATCTTTAGAGCTGTTAAGCCAAAGTTAAGAGTATGTTGTCATGTTAAATTGTTTAAAACTCAAAAAATGTCAATCAAAATTTGAGTGACACATGTTTGTTTATGTTCTAAACAAAACTGAACTCTGCACATGAATTTTTAAAATCTCAGCTTAAATCTATGACAAGAGTTTTTCAATGATATTCCTCAGGATATTTATATTTCCCAATCTAATCAGGATTTCAAATAGTTTACAACATTCACTGGCCTGGACTTGATGTCCAAACTAAATTGGTTGAGATCAGTCAATCAGTTTCAGGGGAGTCTAATTAAATCCAATGACATTTGTGTACAGAAAATGAGTTTTGTTTGCTCAGCTTAGTTATTGTGTTTTCATGTGTTTGTTGTAAGTTTCTGTAAATAGACTTTTCTAATAAAACAAATAGTAATATATTTCAATAAAATTTTATGTTTCCTTTCATATTCACCTTACATAATGTATGGAAGTTTTGATATAGCATATAAGTTTAAAATAGTAAAATTAATATTAATAAATAAAGTTATTATATTAGTATAAGGGCTTTTCATTTTATTTGTTTTTGCTTTTTAAGAACAATAACATAAAATGGAATTTCTATCTATATTTACATACAGGTCTTATAATATAATCTAGATGGGTTAATAATAATAATAAGTGCAGAATCCAAATGGTTAGCAGTTGAAAGTTGAAATTTGGTACACAGTTAGGGTATGCCATGAGAATGCACACTAAGAAGGGAGTTTTGGAAATTTCTCCCCTTGGGGGAGAGGAAGAGGGTTAAGGATTACCCTGAAGAACTTGGCTTGTACTATACTATTTTAGATGCGGTTTTGCATTTTCATGGAAAACTGAATATATTTTTAGACCTATCTAAAAATTCTCTAAGTCTCGGAAGAGGGGGGACCTAATTCTTGCACCTGGTGAAAATGGGTAAGATCGGCTTAATATAATAATCTTAATCTTCACTATTGTTACTTTTTGCCGAGCAACACCAGGCTCATCTGCTAGTATATATATATATATATATTTCTGTATATCATTTATTTATAATAGATAGATAATTATAGAAATTTAATTTGATATAATAGTTGATTTGATTTTGAATATATTAAATCTATTTACTCATCCTAATGACAATATTAATTTCAGAATATGCCCAAGTTGTAAAAATGCTTGGAAATGGTAGATTAGAAGCCATGTGCTTTGATGGCATTAAAAGACTTTGCCATATCAGAGGGAAACTGAGAAAAAAGGTCAGTTCTTTTGCTTTTAATATTTTTCAACTGGCTATTATTTTGCAAAATAGTATTAATTAACCTAACTGCTTCCACTGCAGATTTGCATTAGCTATAATTATCAGTAATACAAATTTTCAAAATAGACATCTGAGCTTAAAAATCTGTTTGATTTTTACTATCAATTTAATACAGACTAACGTAAACACCATGTTATAAAATAGGATTTATATTACAGATAATAGTTATTTTCATTACATAATTATTACATAACATATGAAGCTATTAATTCATTTAGTTAGTAACAGTTTATTAGCTCAGCACTTTTGCATCCACTAAAAGTAACTGAAAGAATTGCTTAGTTTAGTTTTGGTATTTTCAAGAAATAATTCACTTAAAAATCAGACAAAACAAAGGAATGACTCATAAACATAGCTTTCAAAAGCAATAAATAATTTTCTATTTCCATACACACAGTGGTGATATTTGAAATATTTAACAAAGTGTTCGCTAACAGAAAATTTTTCCTTAACAATTTTTTTTCGCTCAAATGGTGCATCGGAAGGCTCTAGTTTAGTAGTGTTACAGAGTATAATATGTATATTTTAATATATTTTTTAAAAGAAACAAAACCACTGAGAAATGTTACATGTGTTTAACAAGGTTCGGAAAACTTTGAAAATGTTAACAACGGGTTCGGCCGAACCTGTGCGAACCCGCTGAATATCACCACTGCATATACACCAATTACTACTGCCCTGTGGTGATTGCCAAATACCAGGCAACAGTTTTATCATTCATACAATAATATCTTGCCAAAGCAGACTTGGCTAATAAGTATTTTCTCTAGACATACACACATATGTTTATAGTAAGTATTTCAACCAGGATTAGAAAAACATATGCAGGTAGAGTGCATGTCTGGAACAGGAGGAGTTAATAGAATTGAAATGAATATACTTAAGCAATTATTCCTTAGGTAATTAATTTGGAGAAAAAGGCAAATTATTTTTATTCTAAGAATTATTACTCAAATAAATTTGAAAAGTATTAAAAAAATTGATAGCACATAAATTATATTAGATTTTTAAAAAAGTTAATAATGATTCTTTTTTTCTATTATAAGAGTTTACAGATGATAAAGATCAAAATGATTTGATAGTGATGACAGCAGATAAAAATGTAATACTAAACTATTATATTAAAAAGAAAATGTTTTATGAAAAATTTGGAAATGTAAAATTTAAGAGTTAAAAGATCATTCAAGAAAATTCAATATGTAGATGATTTGTTCATTTACAATAGAATGTTAAGATAATTTGGATATTATTAACCAAATATTAATTATTTATCAAATTATCCTGAAGTAATAATGTATTTACTGATAATATATTTTGATCTAATACTTTGTTACAAATATTTTAATGTTCAAATCTCAAATTACAGCTGGGTCTTTGCATACCTGCCACAAGAACTCACAATACTTCGTTTTTTCACCCCTTTTTATCGCCTTTCTCTATCACATAGATTTTTTTTTTTTATTGCATAGCTTCCTATATGTTTTCAGTCGAACAGTTTTTTTCTATTGCAATTTTAATTTTTATAAAACCGAATGTAAATTCATTCTTTATAATATATAATGCATTTGTTATTTTTTCCTTCTTGTGTTATTTTTACCTTGTTACCTTATTGGGGTTTATTATTTAGAGGCAGAAGTCAACTGTCTTTTAGATGTCTTCAAATATAGATATAAATAAGTAAATAAATATTATTTATTGATAAAACACTGATAGAATCATTAAAGTTAATTAAATTCAATAAAAAATCATATATTGTAAATCATGGTTACAGTATAAATAATATAATTTAAAATAAATTTATGATAAATTATATATTAGATAGATACAAATTAATATGATTTTAAATTATCTAAAACATTGTTCAATAGAACTGTCATTTGATTACAATTAAACTAAATTAAGATGATAAAGGAATTTATTATAATTATAATTGAAAAGACTTTTAACTAAATCTATTTTAATTACTGTATAATTATTATAATTTAAAAAAAAATTAATTAAGTTTCTATCTCATATTAAGTTTGATACAAGATGACAGCTTAACTGCCTACCTCTAGTTGAAATAATAATTGATAGAGTAGCCTAAAAATAGCACTATGATTTTGTCAAGATCATTTGACTTGATAAAAAAAAAAACTATTGTAACCAGAAAATTATGTAAGTTTTGTAATTTCTTAGAGTTTTAAGTAATAAAAGTAATGAAAGAAAAAATAATGATTATTAAATGGCTGTAATAGTTAATGGCTGTAAAATTGAGGAAAAAATTGATAAAAATCAGAGTAATATTCAAGACAGAATACGTTTGATCTAGTTTGAATTTATCCAATCAAAAGAATTAATAAAATTTCACTGTTGGGTCTTAAAAAATGAAACTAATATACAAATTATACTAAACAAAATGAAAACACTATGTAAACAAAAAATTTCTATAAACTGTTGGGTAAAATCTTTAATCAAATGTTGAATTCATTATGAATGTCTAGATTGTTTGATATTACAGTTGACCCCCTTATAACACTGTTAATTTTTCCATTTTATACGAATTCCGTGTTGTACGAATACATGAGCCGTTCACAGCCCGGCATACGTATTTGTAAAATCTAAGTGACTCGTACAACATGGAATTCATATAAAATGGAAAAATCAACAGTGTTACAGGGGGGATCGACTGTAGTTTAGAACAATGGTTCCCAAACTTATTATTCCTAAAGACCCCTTTTAATAGCAAAAATCTGATCATAAACTCCAAGTGAAATAACTCTCTACACAAGTACTGTACATAATAGCAAAATTACAAATTTAACTTTGATGTCCTGAATGGTGAAATAAAAATAAAATATAAATAAAACATTTTGATATTTAAAGTAATATTTATTGAAATTACTGCTAAAGTTTGCCCGTTTTTGAAAAATGGATATAATATAATGAAAACAAAAAAATGTATAATTTATTTCTAATTGGGTTATAAATTACATTACAAAAATTAGTAAGTTTTTTTTATTTTATCTATTCAATTTTTATAGAAAAACATATTTTTGATCAAAATAAATAAATTATTTATATATTTTTAGTCATTAAATAGTTTTTATAATTATGAAAAACAACCAATAATTATTACTGTTTTGGAAAGAAAAATTAAATAAATGTATAANATTGTCCATATATATATATATATAATATATAATTAATTTATAGTATTTAATTACATTGATAATTTAAGTGAAATTTTTTTTTATATCTATGAAGAAAATTGTAAATGTTAATACTTTGCTAATATGCTGAAAATATTTTATATTTATAAGATTTTTTGTATAACTATTTTTTTTAAAGATTATATAAGTAATATGTAGCTATCATTACAAAGATAAATCCGAAACAAGTTTTAAAATATTATAATTCTTTATGATCTTTTATATAAATCCTAAATGGAAGTGACATTAGAATAAAATTAGAATTAGCTGGAAAAAGATTCTGTGTGAAGATAGAAGAAACGCTAACAGTAAAATAAATTTATATTGTTAAGGAAAGAATGGCATAACTTGATCAATTTCAAGATAGTTAAATATCTTTTCTTTTTTTTTTAAGTGAATAGAAAAATTTATTATTTATTATAATATTAAATGGAAATAATTGTTGATGCTTTATAAAGTTATTTTGTTAAAATAATTTGGAGGATTTTCCTTTAGTTGTTAGAATAATGTGTAAGGACTCATTTTCTATAATTTTTTTTTCCTATAAATAAGTATTATATAAAAAGTTGTGTGTTATGTATATATGGTACAATATACTTTTACTCTCTATTCTATTTTTAATCCACCCTAATGAAATTATTTTGCAAAACATAGTTGTATTTATATATTGTACAGTAATTAATGTTCCAGGTTATCTCTCTTTAATAAAAACACTAAGTATAAATTAACAGACACCATTTACTTTTCACTGCAGCAAAAAATTAAATATTTATTTCTGTTGCACAAATTATAATTTTTGTTTTTCATCAACTGTTATGGTACAATAAAACACTTTCTAAAATAACAGAATATCTAGCTAGCAATGATTGTCAACAGAAAGGACACGTCTACCTATACATCTCACAGAGCACAGCATTACCAACCTATAGAAATCGTTTAAAGATTTCTCTGTGAAAAATATGTATTTAATATTCCTATTAAAATTACCATATTTACTTGCATATAAGACAACCTCACATATAGGACGAGGTGTAAGTTTAATAATTTAAAGATCAAAATAAAGAAAATTAGGTTTATTAATACAGTTCTAATTTTGTTTTGTTTAATCACAAGTAAAATATCAAATGAACGTAAATGCACACATTGTCCCACAAAAATTATTGGCATTTTAAACATTAAGGAAAAATCCTATAAAATTGACAAGGTAATTTGTTCATGTAAAGCTGGACAATGGAGAATTTTTTTTGCCAATTCTTAACAGTCAAATCCACTCTCCGTCGATTACACATATCAGTTTCTCTGAATTCTGATTTCCAAATAATCATCTGTTTTCATGTGGGAATGGATTAAAACTTATATCGTGCTCCTGTGTGATTTTGGAATTTCAATCTGGAATTCAATTCCAAAGCTTTGTTTTTCCTGTTGCTATTCATCTTTACTTCTGACAATGTACAAGAACAATTCTAAGACCCAAATAAAAGACATGATTTTTAACTACAAGAGAGTAAGCATCTGGTAAAAACTGCAAATACATGGTTTACAAAAATTATTTGCAAAAACACAAAGATTCTTTCACTTGTGCATATAGAACAACCTAGGAATTTGAAGCTGTGATAAATGAATAAAAACCTTGTCTTACATGTTAGTAAATACAGTACAAATGTTTTTTCTGTTTTAATGAGCCATATTATCTGCAGTCATTCAAAAATAATAGTGATTGACTGGTCGATCACAATTGACTTGTTGG